GGGGTGTTTATAGATGTGCTGGGGGGATGTGGGGGAGAAGGAGCTCTTTAATTAGAGCGGCTCTAAATGCTGCTGTAATTAAAAAGCCCGGAGTATCATGCATATCAGCATCCCCGCACTGAAAAATGGTGGTAGGGGCACTTTAACTAAAGTTTGTCCCTGCTGCCATTTTTCAGAGTGGGGACACTGATACACATGACACTACTCCTGGATATAATGTTTCTGGTGTCATCTCTTTCTCATTTGTAATTACCATGGTCCAGCAGACTTGATTAATCTGGAATTACAGTGCATCGGAGCAGCCTTGCTGCACGTGTATTGGTGCCCTTGCATTCTATGATGGAAACAATGGTGCAACACATCGGGAAACCTTATTAATATGCGACACTGATAGCAACATGATTGAATTTGTGAAAATGTAAGTACACAGTTCAGAGGTACAAAACTAAGAAATAAAGACACAATTTCCCCAAAGATACTTTGGTTTGAGCAACAGTTCTCAAACTTTTTAGACTCAAGGCACCCCCTAGGTGCCAGCTTTTGGTTTTCACCTAGTTTTTGACTACAGGAAAATTAATACAGCAATTTTCTCTTTGCAAAGAACTCAGAAAGACCATAGCAATCAGAATGTTTTTAACACTATGGATTCCTATCTGAAATCTCTGGGTTTATCTTGTGAATCATACCTGCACCACTAACATTGTGTGGCTTGCTGTGGCACCCTTGAAAGGATCTCAAGGCACCCTGAAGAACCTCGGCACATTAGTTGAGAGTCACTGTGTTAGAGGATGCTAGTTCATTTCCTGTGATTTCTTGTCAGATAAACCTTGGTAACACAAAATCTTGAGCTATCATTATTATTTACAGTATATTAGTTCATGGGAAGGCTAGCCATAGTACTTTCACTTCTTGTGAGGTGAATGCAGGGGCGGATCGAAGGGGTGCAGTGGTGCTTTATTCAAACTTTAAAACCAACTGCCTGGGAGGAGCAGAAGTATTTCTGTTCAGACAGCACTGTGGGAGTCAATTGACTTCATGGCTCATTATAATCTACCTGAGGCCTGCTAGTAGCTCTTCATCCCATAGGTGTTAAATGACCCCCTCTCCCTTTTAATGGCCTTGATGTTCCACTATTCAAATGATCCTTTCTTCTACAATTTTGCTGTTTTGTTAGCCATTCCTGGCAATGTGTTTCTCCTGTTTCACAGCCCTGCCGACTATCTTTAGCTTTAGCTAAAAACCTTAACTGGGGCATAATAACTCAGGTGTGGAAATGACTAACAGTGAGGTATTAGAGGCATTATCAAGACTCTCAAGAAGATGAGATTTTCTTTTACAAATGTGAATAAGAGGTGCATATAACTATAATGACTACAGGAATAATGAAACAATACCTTTGGACTATTTTGACCATTTTTACATAGTTTCTTGTGATTTTTTTACACTTAATGTATAATCTGGTAAATCTGTGAACATTGCAAGAAAGCTAATTTTTTTTTGCTTTGACCTTAAACTGAATGATATAGTCCTGGGCCCCTTGCATATTAGTAAAGCTCCTAGTTCCAGTCTAACTGGATAAAAATGTGTTGTTGTATGTGACATTGCACTGCACACTGTTTTTCAAAGTGCAAATCCTAGGATAGGAGAGGCCATGACAAATGCAGTGGTGTAGTTGCACCCCCTTTGATTCCTGCTCCACCAAAAGTTTAAAACCAATTGGCAGTGGCATCGGCATTTCTAGTCAGGCAGCACTGCAGGGGCAGATCCAGGATTTGGAAAGGTGGGGTGCAAGGGCAGGTTCCAACCTCCTTTCCCCTTCTGTAGGGACACTCCATGTCTTGGCAGCCTTTGGAGATTTTTTGAGTCCCCTAAAGCAGGTAACAACCCCTGCCCCCTTATCCTCCATGCTGAGTGGCACATCCCTTCCCCACCCCCTCCCCTGCTGCTACATCTTTCCCTGTTATCCTGGGCATGTGGAAGCTTCAAAGATGCTCCGCCTGCTCCGGCTGGGCTGTGTGGGGGTTAGGAACAGCAACAGCTGCAGCAGCTAGATAAGGGGATTCCTGGAGGAGGAGGCATGGGAAGAGCGCCCCCTTGCAATTGCCTCTCCTGTTGTCACTGTCCCCAGCTGAGTCTACCCCAGAAGCATTTTGGGCTTCTACTACCCCAGACTATGGGGAAAGCAGCAGCAGCAGGCAGGGAGTTTCATAGATTCATAGATGTTTGGGTTGGAAAGGACCTCAGTAGATCATCAAGTCCGACTGCCTGCCATGGGCAGGAAAGAACGCTGGGGTTAGATGATCCCACTCAGGTGCATGTCTCGCCTCCTCTAAAAGACCCCCAAGGTAAGGGAGAGCACCACTTCCCTTGGAAGCCCATTCCAGATTCTGGCAACCCTTACCATAAAGAAGCTCTTCCTCATGTCTAACCTAAATCTGCTCTCCATCAGTCTGTGGTTGTTGTTCCTAGTTACTCCAAGGGGTGCCCTGGTAAACAGAGCATCTCCTATTCCTTGCTGCCCTCCTCCCCCCCCGCCTGATGAATTTGTAGGCATCCACAAGATCACCTCTCAGCCTTCTCTTGCGGAGGCTGAAGAGATCCAGGTCTCTCAATCTCTCTTTTTAGGGCTTTACCTGCAGGCCCCTAACCATACAAGTGACTCTCCTCTGAATCCTTTCAAGGTTGTCCACATCCCTCTTGAAGTGCGGCGCCCAAAACAGGATGCAGTACTCCAGCTGCGGATTGACCTGTGCTGCATAGAAGGGAAGCATCATGTTCCTGGACCTGTTCATTATGCACCTGCTAATGTACGAGAAAATGCTGTTAACTTTACTGATCACTTTGTCACATCGACGACTCATGTTCATCTTGATGTCAACGATGACCCCGAGATCCCTTTCCACTGCTGTGCTGCTGAGAAGGTCATCCCCCAGCCTGTAAGTGTGTTGGTGATTCCTTCTTCCTAGGTGCAGCACCTTGCACTTGTCCTTGTTGAGCTGCATCCTATTCTCTTCTGCCCACTTTTCCAACCTGTCCAGATCCACCTGGATTCGTTCCCTCCCCTCTAGTGTGTTAACTTTACCTCATAATTTGGTATCAGCTGAGTTGGGGATGGGGGGGCAGCGGAGACTTGCTTCTGAGCACAACAGGGAAGGAGGGGGATTCTTAGGTGCTTTGGAGACTTTCAAAAAAGTCCCCAGAGGCTCCTGAGCTGGATCCAATCCAAAAAGTGGGAGGGGGGGGTGCAGCCACAGCCCTGCCTCTCCTCTGGATCTGCCCCTTCCCCCTGGATCCAGCCCTGGGCAGTGATTACTTTGAAGGCAAGGCTCCTGGAGTCATGGGATTTCCCTGAGTCTCCAGTGTGTTTGTGCCTCCCTCAGGAGGTCAAGGCTGCCTTGCCAGACACTGCCATCACCTACATCGACTAGGTCGTGCACGAGGGCAGCCCCTGTCCCCTGGTACCCCTCAGCCCCCCGAGGCTTGTTGTGAGCTCTCTTCCTCAGCAGGGCCCATGGCACTCCCCACCATACCATCTCAGCAGGCTGAGAGATACAGAGCTTATCTGCTTCCTTACAGCCCATCATTCCCAGCTCTAAACGCTCAAGGGCTGCACCCTCCCTCATCCTGTCCTCATGTCCCGCCCAGACACTAAGTGGCGGGCTGCCCTTGGTGAGGACAAAAGTCCCTGGTGGACGAGCCTGTATGCCTTCCTGATTCTGCAAACCACCGCTGGCAGCTCCCGCACGGAGCCATTGCCATAGGTCACAGACCCCTGACACCTGTCCCTCCTGCAAGCAGAGGGAGATCCTGCTGCAAGCCCACATGGAGTCTGCCAGGCTGCAGCCCCTTCATTGCCTTCTGCAGACCCCCCTGCTGAGGTCCTGGCTGCACTGCTCCCCATCCACAGACCCACCAAGCCTGGCACCTCCCAGCCATAGCCACGCTCGCCATCTACCCGCCCAGGAAGGCGGCGCTGGCTGTGGGGACCCTGGGAGCCATGACGCCATTTTCCCATCCCCGGTCTACTCATGTCTTGGGGCAGGGTTGCACTGGCAGTGTCCAGCGGCTCCTTCGACGCGTTGAAGGCCAGTGGGTGCTGCCTGGCGTTCTCTACCCAGTCCCCCCTTGGGGCACTCATCCTGCACCCGTGACCTTCACTCCTGTCCCTGTTTCACCTTCTCTGTCTCCCAGGTCATCCGTGACTGGCCCCCTCGTCAGGGGGGCTTTGGCGCACGCTCTGGCTGGCACCTCAAAGGGCCTGGGCAGGAAGGGCAGGGGGCTCCGCCGGGAGGGGCCGTTTGCCCGTCCCTGGTCCGCAGTGCCCAGCGGGTCCGGGTCGCGGCGGGGCAGGCCGGGCGCTGTGCTCGCTCCCGGCCCCGGGTCCTCCTCGAGTCTCCACGGGACCCGCCCGGCCCCGTGCCTCAGTGCACGCC